CTACCATCATACGGCTTACCACCTCAGCTATGCCATCTCCTATCAAGTTTTCTTTCAGGCATATCGCTCCATGTGGTGGTGGACGGTGTATCGTCTGGTACAATCGGCATCAATTCCGGCGGTCCACAAGGATCAATTTTGGCACCAACATTATTCCTTCTTCATATCAATGATCTGTTGGGAGTAACACGAGAGGTAAGTACATGGGGTAATCCGGTGTACAACTTAGGGGTATTGCGGGGCAATGCGAGGCAGTGTGGGGCATTGCGGGGTAATGCGAGGCATTGTCGGGCACTGCAGGGTATTGATGGGCATTGCAAGGTATTATGAGGCATTGTTAGGCAATGCGGGGTATTGAAATAGCACTGAAAGGGCAATGTGGAGCAATGTTTGGGCCTAATTTGTTGCGCGCGCATCCGTTTCTGTTCAAAGTCACTATATTCAGTTCTATCGTTCAAAGTGATGCCTCCGTAGTCCGTCTACATTCTGATTGCGCCATTCAAGCTTTTCGCATCACGTCATGTTGTCATCAAATCCAGCTACAGCTATAGCTTTGGATTGGATTGGAATAGGATTCAACCGACTATTCGACTAAAAACTACGATATAGATGAGAAAAGTCCATATGTGAAAGTCACTTTGGGAAATTATAATATGATCATAATAAAAAAATCATCATTATGCTGGCTTCTGATTGAGGGGTAGGGACGTATCAGTAACGATCGCATACAGCGTTTCAATTCTATATCCTAGATCTGTCCAAAAAAGAAAGTCAAAAATACCTGCTGACGATTCAAAAACTAAGAAAAAGAAAATTGAATGTATCGGAGATTCTTCAGAAGAAGAAAATGAACCAGATATCGTTTTAGACGATTCCACAGATGTGGAGGCATTCTACTCTTTGGGAGAAGATCCAGAAGAAGATACGATGATGAAAAAACTTGAGGTTTTCGATCCCGAAATGGGTGAATAGATAATTTCTATGCAGTGGTATTTGATAAAAACTGGTATCTGGGACTGGTAATGAAAAAGAACCAAGACAGATTCGGGATACCAAAAGAATGTATTTTTCACGGACCACTTGTACTTGGGGAAAATTCTCTGTTTCTCCTAAAAAGAGCGGATAAAGTGAACATTTCCAATCTTTATTTGGAGTCGGAAAAAAAAAGCATATCCAGTGTGATGTGCTTTAACAAAATATATATTCAGGTTCAAGCTGTTTTTGGTTCAAGAAAATCTCAACTTTGTTCTAGTTTCGAGAAAGAATTCAGACCGAGTTTTTTTAATAAATATAAACTTAAAAAAATGTTTAATTTTAGTCGAGATTTTAGTACTGTTACCTAATATCTGGACTTATATGTATGCCCGGTGTTTCTGTTACCAAACTATGATCTCTGAATAAATGTGATACTGTCTAAAGAAGTATACCTCTAGGAATAACTATACTTAGTTATCAAGTATAGGAGAGACAAAATGTTCGTCTTAAGTCCTAAGTTGTTTTTGCGAAAAGGCGTGTGTTTCTATGTCTGTTTCATGTTCGACTGCTTGTTATGTGTAATTTCTTGATGAAATATGTATAATTATTCATTATTTCTCGTCCCATCAGATTATTGATCCACTAAGACATTAAAATGAATTCGAACTATGATGTAAAAGACTAAGTCAGTTTTTATATTTCAATATAGTCTGTCTCTCTTCAACACATGGAATGAAAAGAGATAGTTATATAGTGCACTAGGGGCATTGTTGGGCATTGGGGGGCATTGTTGGGCATTGCGGGGGCAATGTTGGGCATTGAAGGGCAATGTTGGGCAATGCGGGGTATTGTTGACCGAAAAATGGGCATTGCAGGGTAATTTCGGTGAATTGAGGCATTCATTACCCCTTGGTGTACAAAAAATGGCTAAGTACTTACCCCTCGGAGTAACAGCTTGCCCCATCCACAGCTTTGCAGATGATAGTACCCTCCATACTGCGTTCTCTTCCAGAATTCCCATTTCTTCCCAAGAAACTAAGAACTCACGGCGCAGGCAGGTCAATGCTATCAATGGAGACCTTGCTGAAATCACAGCCTGGGGAACCAACAACCTAGTTGAATTTAACGCCACCAAAACTCAAGCCTGCATTTTCTCTAGAAAGGCGGAACTCAGTATGCCCGACATTGTAATATCTGGCACCACCATCCCCACCAAGCCCACCATATCTTTGCTCGGTATTTCCATCAGCAACACTCTTTCATGGGATAATCATGTCATTCATCGCAAAAGCTGCATCACAAAAACTCTTGTTCCGTGCGAAAAGCTACTTCACACCTCAACAGCTCCTCATAATCTACAAAGCGCAGATACGGCCTGTTCTAGAATACTGTTCCCACATATGGGGGTCAGCACCAAAACATACGCTGATGGTCTTAGATTCCATTCAGAGAAGAGCCATTCGCCTGGTGGGTGACGCTCACACTCACTCACTATTTGACATCATTGGAACACCGTAGAAAGGTCGGCAACCTTTCCCTTTTCTCTCGATACTTCCACGGGAAATGTTCTTCAGAAATCTCTGCTACCATCCCTTCACTAGCAATACCAGTCGGACGAACTAGACAAGCCCAGTCAGCACATCTTTTCGTTGTCAACCGCGAAACATGTCGAACAGCACTTTATCAAAACTCCTACATCCATAGAACGGCTAGGCTCTGGAATTCATTGCCTGAGGAAGTATTCCCAACAACATATAATCTCCAGAAATTCAGAAAAAATTCCAATACCTACCTCCTACCCCTATCCTCCCTAGGAACGCACGATGTTCTATGAACATCATAAGGATTCCCTTTCGTGCGCTCCAAGCGATAAAAAAATGCAGGTGTCCTCTCGTTGGACTGTGACCAGTGAGAAGTCCCGTTATTGTTCTGACTTGATTCTTACTCATCTCGAGTTTCTTCAGATTTATTTTTCGACGGTTCTTTAATGAATACTTTCCCGTGGTGCATGTGAGGGGCTTCAGTTCATCACTCCTTAGCCTCCGGTAGCTGTTTTTGTAACCCCGACTATGGGTTCTGGGCCAATGTATGCAGTTGATGAGCCGGTTCTTGCCAGTTCATCAGGTTTTCCGTTTCTTATGATGCCGCAATGTTCTGGAACCCAAAACAGGGTAATTTTGTTATGTCAAATGTAATAGATTTATTTTATATGTCATCAGGAAGGTACGTCAATGCCATTCAATGCACTTTTTGAATTTTTCAAATATCTTGTCACATAGGCGAGATATTGCCTGTATGCGATAACTTCAGACACCTGATATAAGAAAGAGCGCGGAAATCCTAGAGAGTGCTCAGTCTCTCCATTACTGTTATAGATAATGATATCGTGAATTGACTACGGCTATGGATGATATTTGCCACGTGAGATGATCATATCAAAATTTTGCTCGCCAGCTCCTTTATATCTTGATATACCTACTGAACTACTATGTGAATGGGCTCCAACAAGCAGATTTTTGCACTCAATTCAACATTGAATATCGTTCAATGACTTTAGGTATAGTTGATTGAGCTTCGGTTTATTTTGAATGATAATGTATCAGCTGCATGTTTGTAGCCCAAGAGCCGGTGAAAAATATTTGATAAAGATTCATACCAATATCATTTGATTACTTTGTTAGTAATAATCATGAAAATGAAAGAATGGCAGACTGCAATGGGTGCTTTTACTTCGTGAGAAGCATTCAAAGTGGCGAAAAAATTACAAAAATCATTGATTCATTGAACGTTGAAAATATCCGTGAACAAAGTACCATAAATTCTACAGGGTGAACTACAGACCACAATAGGCCAATTGAAATCAACGAAACGTGGAGACTGAAGCTATTGATCCTTTTATTACCTACAACTTTGTGTTAAAAGTGTTTTGTTATATAGTTTTGCCGGAAATCAGGATGACCCGTTTTTTACTCCTGAAAGCTCACTTCCCGATCTCAGATCGCCCATAATTTTTATTTTCTTCACTGTTATTTTCTCTGCCTTTTCCAGGTCTGATGCAATAAAAAAATGAAGTGAAGAAATATATTCTGATACAAAGGAATTATCAAGTCTGACAGACTTCTTGAATTTCATTTGTTTTTCTTTCTACGCTATTTTCTTTCTTTCTTCGTGTTCACTATATGAATACTATTATTTTGAAATATTTTAATGATATTTAGGTTCGGTTCACTATTTCTGAATTCAACTATACCAACATTCGATACTACTCCATGAATGAATATACCAGAAAAAACTGTCTGATCATTCATGTGGTTCCTACGAGAAAATCAATTATACTTCATATATCACCTGTATGCAGTTTATTAGTGAATAAATATTCAACGCAATAACTGACATGAATAAATGGATAAATAATTGGTCTCACTATTTTCAGTAATAGTGTAATGAAATAAATATCTAAGAAACCAGTTAGAAAACGCGATTTTACGGAAAGACACATTCAGAATTGGTTACGTATGTTAGATCCAGGTGAACGGAAGAAGCATCGGCCAAGTTAAAACATGCAATGCATATTCACCAATACATCTCAGTGTATTATAGTAGAAATATTTACCATATCGTATCAGGGAATCTTTGATTTCAACATCCTTCATTGGTCATTTGCGTGGCCATTTGCGTGGCCTTAAAATGATGTTCTATAGATGTCGTCATTTTTTGACAATAATAATTTTCCGTCATTTGAACGTCTCCCACACATCATGTTGACGTCAGTTGATCACTTATGAGTGAATACGATCAAATTAGAACGTCATTGAGATATAACTTTCTATTTTATCGACAGTCTTCTAGTCCTATAGCTGATAGATTCGCCTTCAAAATGAACAAAACCATAATAGAATATTGTGACATGTTCACGATAATATTTAAAATTGGATTCAGTGCAAAAATTAGCTTGTTGAATTGCCTTATTTGACGAGCAGTTCAGATATTACTAGTAGGTACCAACTGGTTGGTTTTTCTAATAGGGTATAACATCGGATTTGTTTCCTGGTGTAATCCTGCCAGTACCAGACTATGTGACCTTAAATAAGTCCGTGGAGGAGGCATGCAAGATCCATAATGTACAGTGTACTCCATTTTTCCTAGAAAAAGTTCAACAGTTGTATGAGATGATAATAGTCAGGCATGGTTTGATGATAGTGGGATTGCCATTCGCAGGAAAAACAACATGTTATAGGATGTTAGCTGAAGCCCTAGCACTAATCGAGGAAAAGGTAATTTCCCATAAGGATAGGCGCGAGTACATCATTGTCTGAAATTCAACAATTTTCTAACAAATAATTATTATCTCCCAGAATGGTGACAATTATCTAGTTGAAATGACTACTTGATTCAGATTTACTCATTTCCTCAATGATGAAATGGAAGTTGTTGATCAATTTGCAAAAAGAGGTCATAATTATATACAATGTGTGCGATTTCAACCAGCAACACCATTTTTATTTGAAACCCGCCAATCGATTTTCAAAAACAAAAATTACATAATATAGTAGTCAACGAGCTATCTTGGTGAATGTGGACGAATGGAGTATTGAGATTTTCAAGACCTATTTTTGTTTGTTGAAAGGGTCAAAACGAATATTATTTAGGCATTTTTTCCGGAACAGTCACTAGCCTATTCAATTAATGCATAGCTGAAATATCATCGTACAAAATTTTAATGCAATATCTCATATAGGGTATTGTCATTCAATGGCAAATTTTGATATTTTAGATTCTTCGATTCACCCTGTATCAAAATCTAAGGAATGGATCATTCAATGGAGAAACAAATCGAAGTTTCATCATTGTAACTTCTACAGGAAGATATCTCTAAGTCAACCAGAAATTCATTAAATTGAAGTTGAAAAATGTTCCCTTGTGATCCATATGTTTTTCCTGGAAATTTCAATAATATTATCTAATTATTTCGATAAAATATTCTCCATGTATAAAACTATCCATTGTCATCTCGAATTCTATTTCAATTTTGCCAAAATCGGTAAATTGATATCATATTAGGCCAGGGGCGCGATAATTTTTTTTTGGGGGTTATGTCTTTTTGGTTTAGGTAATGAAAACTGATTTCTTTCAGAGAGCCAATAATAATTCATACACCCCTGTATTCAAGTCATTTATAATAATGATAATAATGATAATAATATATAAGTTTATTCAAAAACATTTACAAACTATACATTGAAACATACAGATAGGTATTTTGAATAAACTGAGAAAAACCTTACGAAGTGAACCTTTCAGTAAGGATGAAAGAACAAATGTACATAGGTCAATGAATATTCAACAATACTAAATTATCACAAGGGAAAAATTGTCTCATTAAGAAATGATACATCATCTTGTTTTTAATTCATATATAGTGTACTGAGCATTTCATTCAATTCGCAAAATAGTTTATATTTATACAGGGTGTTTCAAAAAAACCTAACCCTAAATATTTTTTACGATTATGTTGAAACTACTGGCAACTTTGTAATAAAATTTTGCATGGATGTGTTTCAAAAGCTGACACATCGCATGAATTCGTTTTTATATCTGACACTCATAGAGGGCGCTAGTTACACGGTTCGTACCGAGTAGGTACATAATTTTTTTAAGGTTAGATTTTTCCCTCCAAATTTGATGTGAACTTGAACATCATTCAATTTTATACTCTGTTGAAAGTAAGTACTATAAAAGTCTGTTACCTTTAAACCACGTCAAGGGCTGCAAACAAGAATTATTGAACATTACTTCGATGATCTCATAGCTGATCCTCAACCGTTGAGAAGATTGATGCATCCTTTAGAAAAAAGGATCGAATTGTGTATCCGTGTAAACTTACGACATTTTGGACACTTACTCTAACTAGATGATGTTTCAAGTCAAATTTAATTAATTTTTTCCTGATGTGACTTTGTTTATCCGATAACTTCAGCAGTAAAATGATGTTAATGTTTTTTGTCCTCAATAAATAGGTAATTGTTATTGAATGAGAGTTATTGCTTCAGCATTTTCAAATCGAAATATTTCGAAAACGGTACACAGTATCGAGTTTTACGAAGATTATCATTTTGGAGTTGAATTGAATGGTGTTCAAGTTCACATTGAATTTGGACTAAAAAATCTAACCTCGAAAAAGTTATGTTCAAAAATACTCGGTACGAACTGCGTAACCAGCGGCCTCTATGAGTGTCAGATATAAAAACAAATTCATGCGGTGTGTCAGCTTTCAGAACACATCCATACAAAATTTCCTCACAATATTGCCAGTAGTTTCGACATATTCGTAAAAAATGTGTAAATAAATATTTTGTCAACACCTTGTATCTTGAAAACGGATCCCGTTATGACATTTTTTCACTGAGCAAACCCAACTTATTTTGCAATGGGGTTAGGTTTTTTTTGAAAAACACCCTGTATATACTTATTCACAATTATTATTGAGATGTTCCTAATTATATTATTGAATGTTAATTAAAGGGATAAAATCATTTTTAGGGTAGTCTAATATCCAGTTCTTTATTTTTATCGTATAGGATTGTAGTGATTTTGTTCTTACTTGAGAATGTGATAAGTGGAATATTTCAAGCACATAAATTCATTTACATTCCTATAATATTCCCGGAATATTTCGGATGTTATCTGAATTTTCCTAATCTAATATGGGTTGATTCTGGATATATTCAGCATATTCATGGAATGTTCTAACGAAAATATCCTAGGAGCACAGATAGATAATATTTTATGAATATTCATGAACTATCTGGTGCCTACTGAGTATGCTCAAACTATCTTACTTTATTCAGTTAATAACTCATTTTTTGCTGATAGTTTGTTTGAATGATGTTTACTATTTGTTTCAAGGGTGGTATGGATGAGCACAAAGCAATTTACACAGTCATGAATCCGAAATCAATAACTTTGGGACAGCTATATGGTCAATTCGATCCAGTTTCTCACGAATGGTCAGATGGCGTTTTGGCAGTGTCTTTTAGACAATTTGCTATGTCTACTACTGAAGATAGGTTGGTATTCATATCATCATGCAATAGTAATTATATATTTTATTTCTGACAGTGACATTATAAGCTTATATCGTCATAGTTACGATATCTATTATGAGGGTCATAACTCCCTTGGGATGTTATAGATGCTATAATTCCCTCTAGCTAAAATTAAATAAGAAATGCAAAGCAACAACCACGCAATAACGTAGCAATAAGGAATCTCCTATTCGCGGTAGTCAAGATCATCATCTGACGTTCTGATGACATTGAAACTATACGGAAAAACATGTCTAACTAATCTAACTATCTAATGAATGAAATCAGTCAGAAATAAAATTATCTATGTATCACGGGAATTATAGAGCCTCAATAACCTCTGGCAATTGCAATCCCTCGGGCCAGAGGCCCTCGGGACGCAAACTTTGCCATCGGTAATTAAGGCCCTCATAATTCCCTTAATACATAAATAACTATAATTTTATCCGAATAATTATTCAATGTCTTACAGAAAATGGTTGATATTTGATGGTCCTGTAGATGCTGTTTGGATAGAGAATATGAACACAGTATTAGATGACAATAAGAAGTTATGTCTGATGTCTGGCGAGATTATACAGCTAGCTAATACTACCAATTTGATTTTTGAACCTATGGATTTGGATGTAGCTTCACCTGCAACGGTATCAATTTTTATGGATTTCAACTTCTACCAAATTTCTGAGTATTCTTATATTTTAGGTATCTCGATGTGGAATGATTTATATGGAACCAGCATCATTAGGTTGGGAACCTCTTCTGACGTCTTGGCTCAACACTCTGCCAGCATTTATCAATAATGACTTCTATAAATCGATGATATTCAATTTATTCATCAGATTCTGTAAACCGCTGATTTGGCTGATACGGAAAGGAGGAGTGAGGGTATGAATCTTATGATGGAAAGTGTTCATTATTTGTGTGAAGTTACATTTTAGTACATTTTGCTCGTAGAACAACGCAGTGAACACAAATATATTTGAGTTAGGTATAGAGAGTTCTTGAGTAATACATCCTCAAATTTGTTCTTTCCTCATAAGGTGTCGCAAACATTAGTAGGTGTTATTTGAAAATGTCGAGTTTTCGGCAATGTTTCAATGCAACGTTTGAAAACCACCCGTCATATGGTACAAAAACGGACCATCGATGGAACATTATTAGTTAGCCTGTGCTTTCAGCTATCTGTTCCACAAATTCGGTGCTATAATTCTGTACAGTTCGCGAGCTACAAACGTGTTCGTAAACTACTAGGGTTGATGCATTTTACTCTAAAACTGATGGATAATAGTTACATACAATATTTCTTCAACAACTGTCAAACAAGAGGACAATCCCATTCAACTTATGATGTAAATGATCGAATAACATTTCGTAATTATTATTATCAAGTAAATTTACTCATTTCAAGTCACATTATTGATAACACATGGTTTCTATGGACGAGATAGCCAGGGCCACCTTCAGCTAATCTGAATAAATCGCGTTCAGCGAAGCTTATCAAATCATAGATGATATGCCAGCATATTATCATTTGATACGTGAGGATATCGTGACGCCCTTCTTCCCGCTCCACTGGCGATCTATACGAAACACGAAGTCAGCCGCCTTGATTTGTTCGCTTACTGCCTTGCCAAATTCCGTAAAGGAGCCCATAGACCTTGTTGTTGGTGGTTGCTAGGGAGAACGACCATTTTGCAGCCACACACTTTGGTTTTGCGTCATTTTTGTTCGAACAGACTTGTTCGTCGGACAAAACAGCCTAATACCAACAACGCAGTGTATGGGCCCCTTTCACGCAAGCATTCATTTCATTGCCTAGCAGCAACCATGAAAAGCGTACTTTTTTCACACTCCACCGTGAAATAATGGAACTGTATTATGATATTGAAGAATGGAACACTTTGGGCGCACAAAATATATTGAAGAAGTGCAGTTTTTTAGACAGTTGTAGGAAAATTGACCTAAATGAAGTTGTTGTAATTTCAAGTCGTCAATACAACTGCAAGTGAAAATTTCTACGTTGGCCTACGTAAATTGCTCTCTGTTATATTTTCTGTTACGGTTCTACTTCATCATTGAGAGATAGTAGGCGGTTGCATGAAGGTCTCTGTTAGCTCAACAAAAATCATATAGTAGAAGTGCCGACTGTAAATTTCGACCGTCATCTGAAATAAGTAGATATTTCCCGAATGAATTGCATTGTATCGAACAGCACCTGTGCCAATAACTTCCCTGAGGAGAATGATTGAGAATTGGCACTATCTTGTAATTTTCACCAATTCAGTGGTACATCTCAAAACCCCTCAATCTGAATCAAATCCTCTCGGCACGGCGATTTTTGGCTTAAGTTTTTTGGACATACATCCGTCACGTGATAACGAGTTAAAACAAAATGAAAATAGTAGGAGATGATGTTCGTTTCGCGAATATCCAAACGTGCCGCGATCCAAATTGTTCTTAGTGGCAGAGGATCAATAATTCCTAGATTTCGCCCTTATTATGAACATAATAATATCCGATGGATCATCGGTTCGATGTTCTGGTCCATCGGATATTATTTTTCAACAGAGGCAGAATATCCTATAGGAAATATTGACGCTCTGCCACGAACTCAGATCCCTTGTTATTTGCATTTTGTTTCAACTCGTTATCACGTGACGGAAGTATGTCCATAATGATGTCATCAAAAAAATCATTGTGCAGGATCTCACTCAACTTGGGGAGTGACACAGACAGGGTTTTGATCAGATGGCATAAGCCTTATCTCGTTATCAAATCGCGAAATTTTGCGCAAATTACTGCACAGGAAAGTGCCATTTTGCTCAGGACAGTAAATGGAGCAGGTGCTGTTCGATAATTTGAAATGTGTGCACATTCATTTGGAACATATGTCACTGCGTTTTTACAAGACTGTCAAATTTGGCAGCCGGCTCTCGGACAAATATCTTCTAACTCATCAGCTGAGGCATACGTTGCCATGGATATCAACATATTGATCCGGCCCATAATATTTTTTATGCACGACCGGGCGTAAAGTAGCACTTCACCGCCCGGGTTTGCGGGCTTAAAGTGACACTTTACCGCCCGGCGGGCGATAAAGTCATGAGCTGGTGGTGAAGCTAATGTCACTGTTGTATCGATAGAAATCTAGATTGACATTAGGAAAGCATGAAAATAGTACTTACTTTCATCATAAGGTACGGATCGTCTGGTGCTTCACTCAAGAATAACTCTATTTCTTCTCTGCTTAGAATCTTCGATTTCTTTAGGTCATAACCGTCAGATATTGATTGATTGTCTTTATTACCCCAAGAAACATTTCTGTTTATGATAGGGATACATAAATACATATAAAAAAAATAATAATAAAGGGTTAACTATAATGAATTCCACTCAGTGGAAACGAATTAATATTGTGTCTTATAAGATTAAAGTTATATTATTTCATTCCTAAGTAATCAAATCATGCCACATATTTTTCTTTCAAATTGTCCTGAGCAAGTATTTTTTAAGATTGATTTTAAACCTTCTTGCATCATGTATATTTTTTAACTCATTCGGTAATGAATTGTATAAAATTATTCCATTGTGAAAAACAGATTGTTTGCCAATGTTTGACTTGAATGTATTTGCAATCAAGTAATTCAATTGTCTAGTCCAATAATTATGGACTGTATTGACTTCATTGAAAGCTAAATTTGATATTTTCAACTTACACGCTGCGGTCCATAAAAGCATGTTTTACGCCCTTGATACATAAATAACTATTTTCTCCAAGCGGCAGGGATAGTGGCCTTTTTCTGCCGCTCAACAGGCAGGAAAGGTGTACTTTTACTGCCTAGGCAGAAAAAGTTTGTTGCTATGCGTTCCAAGAAATTTTAATGAAATTAGTAACCAAAATTGACACTGACATTGGGTGAACACAAAATGATGGAGTTTTCAATAAAAAAATCACACAAAATTGGTTTTATATCATTTGGAGAAGATATTCTATGTTTCACACTGCAGTAAATGTAGATTGACTGCCTTGGCTGAATTCCTAGCCTCGCTACGATCGGCTATGAACTATCAGCCGCGGCAGTCAATCTACTACTTTTCTGCCTAGTAAAACAAATAACTAATATAGTACCCATATGTTATGGACTGAAAGTAGAAGATCATTTCTCTTCTTAACATTAGAGTCACTGGATGGTATTAGTTTGATAAGAGTTCGGACACAGAAATAACAATGGTTAGTGTTTTTGAATGTTCAGATTCTTTAAGTTACAATCGCGCTTTTCCAATTCAATTTGTCAAAACATCTTATATGAACGACAGAATTGAAATGAAATTTCATAAACTATTGAGAGAATGCACAAATGGAAATGTCCTGCTGTGAAATGAATTGCGGGAATTCTGAAAAGAATGGATTTTATTTCTTCAATTTTCCTAAGGAAATATCGACCGTTGCCTTATACAGGGTGGGCCACCAGTAACGCCTCGGTCTCTAGAAGGCTAACCACCTATCTTCTTGGAATTCTTCCTCTCTAGGAAATTGCATGTCAACATAGGCTACCATTTAAGATTATTTCGAAACATACAGGGTGTCCCCAAAAACCATAAAACACTGAAGTTAAACTTTTTTCTATCGAACACCCTATATATTATTTCATTTTGAGATTCTCCCTGATGAGCTGATTTCAACGACCCTCAAACTTGGGCTCTAGCAGTTATAATTACTGAAATATAGGGTGTGAAAAATCGAGATTTTCCAAGTTCAAGAATTCTTTGTGTCGAAACTATTCATAATTGGTCAAAACGGCTTACATGTCCCTATCTCAACTTTTGATTAACTATCTACTGATATTTGATTGGGACATATACCGGGTGATCAAGATTCTGAATTCTGCACCACCCTGTATTTGTTTCAATTAAATGTCAGTAGATAGTTGATCAAAAGTTGAGATAGGGACTTGTAAGCCGTTTTGACCAATTATGAATGGTTTAGACACAAAAAATTCTTGAACTCGGAAAATCTCGATTTCTCACACCCTATATCTCAGTAATTATAACTGCTAGACCCCAAGTATGATGGATTGTTGAAATCAGCTCACCAGGGAGAATCTCGAAATGAAATAAAATATATAGGGTGTTCGATTGAAAAAAGTTCAACTTCAGTGTTTTGTGATTTTTGGGGACATCCTGTATGTTTCAAAATAATTTCAAATGGTAGCCTATGTTGACATGTAACTTCATAGAGAGGAAGAATTCCAAGAAGATAAGTGGTTATAGCCTTCTAGAGACCGAGGCGTTACTGGTGGCCCACCCTGTAGAATGTATGTATGAAACGGCCTGGATAAAAAATTAATTTGAAGACAAGCAAAATTCGTAAGGTAGGTAAGTACAATTCACTTCTGATAACAGCAGATTGAAACATAACAATTTTGAAACAGGAAATTTTAAGATCCTGCTGTTCCCCTGATTTACAAAACAGGACATTAAAAAAATCCAATATTATCATCACACGAAATGCAATACAAAATTATCATTGAGATAGAGGAAACGATTGCAAAACTACGTAATGAAATTAAAAATTTGAGAAAGAAACTGAGGGAATTCGAAATGTATCAGTGAAGAGTGAATGCAGCAAGAGGTTGAAATTCAAAACAATCTCCATGTTTTGAACCTCTTTTCAAACTTTATCACTCCGGTGCAATTTTACATACAATAAGGAATAAGTATATCCATATGTGTCTATTTTGTCATATATTAAAACTTGTATTGAATAGTAGATTGTTTTATTAGGATCAAAAGTGACACTTTGTTTGACAGGCGAATTTTCCATTTGCGAGGCGGAGCGTTTAGCGAAGCCGAGCGAAAGCAAAATTTGCAAGTCGTACAAAGTCACTTTAGATCCGAATGAAACATGCTATTTTTTCTGCAACCGAAACAATTAACTCGAATAAACATGTGAAGTAACCACCAATGCCGTGTCATATGTATGCAATGCAACAAATATTGACAAATAAATCCACCATGTGGAAAGAATATTCTACCTGCATTAACGGGGCTCTAATGGCAAATACCGCGCCAGTGCCAGCTATAGGAACAAGACGTGGAAAATGTTAGGTTAGTGAGCATATCAACAATGATAATAGTGATTATTTATTCCTCTCCATACTACACTGTGTTTGACTTGATAATCAAATGAAGCTAAACAATATCGTTGTTTGAGACAAAAAACTATTGCTTGCCGTGATTATTCAAAAACAAGTTATCCATCCCCAGAATAACGAATGAAATACAAATCAAACAAGTATTTGAATCTTGAAGGCTTCCCTGATCAAACAAAAATTCTTAGCTGAGATGCTTATATTTCCAATACTTAACTATAATAAGGTGTATTTAAATCTCCAGCATGGGTATGAAATGCCAAATCTGCTGAAATCGGAAACAGATCAGGTATGCGTCTCAACCCGAATAACCAACCGTCACACACGAAAAAAAAAAGGAATTGTTGATTCAAGCAAAATTTAATTGAATGGAGCAAATAAAAGTATCATATATGCACGACAAAATATAATCTTGAAATGAGTAAATCTATATCTTGTTTCAGAGCGAATTAGAAATTTGGATCAAGTAAATATGTCTTGCATGAACTCTGGATCTTCTTCAATCAAGCACATCCATGAAATGTTTATGAAGATATATTGAATTGGCTCAAACAATCATTTTGTTCGATTCAAAATAACAAGATATTGATTCAATCAAATATTTTGTTGATTCAAGGAAATATTTGGTTGATTCAATGAAATATTTGGTTAATTCAATGAAATATTTTGTTGAGTCAAGAGAAACTATATATTCATTCGACAAATTGTTTTGTTGAACCAAACTCAATATTCGGGAATTTTCTGAAATTTCATATCAATAGAACAAACAAAACTAGGAAACTAGTCGACTCCTAGCATAGATCTTCAGTCTTGACTTCTCTTTAGCTGATGCGAAACTATTTCGAATTGTTAATCATCCTAAGTTCGATTCATCCAGCTGATATTTCAACCACGAAGGATCAGGTTTCACGTATATAATGAATTCGAGGCAGGCATAGATGAGGCGAAATGATCGCCATCTAGAGGCGAAAATTTGAGTAGATGTAGAATGAACAAAACATTTCAATGATATTACATATTTCGTTGCTCTATTCAAGCAAATGATCCGTTCAAAACGAGTTCATTGCTACATCGGAATAAGAAAACTTGTATGTTGTTTCAAAGATATATTCTCATCAAAATGATCATTGTTTGATCACATCAACGAAATGTTCATAGTTGAATCAACATCAACATTATTTTGGATCGACATATTTTGTTTTTGAGAAAACCATATATTTTGTTGATGGAATTGATGTTATACTATTGATTCAATTATACTACATTCTTGATCTGAACAAGCTGCTTCCATGGAAAAATCATGTATCTGGTTAATTCTTTTTTTTCCGTACAATGTTGTTTATTCTTGATGACGTCCAGTACATCCTTTTTAGTTCTTAGGAGCTAGAAACGTCAATAGGAGAGGTAATTTTGGTATCAAAATGGACGACTTTTGTGTCGGTTGCAGAAAAATGTTATTACATGCATTCTTTTCATGCTTAATAATAATAATAATAATAATAATATAAGTTTATTCAAAAACGTTTACAAAATATACATTGGAATAAACATATAGGTAATTTGAATATACTGGAAAAAACCTTACGAAACATGTATTGCAATAAATTGAAGTAGGTGTTTATATCCTATTTCTATTTTCCATCTTCGACTATCACTGATTTTACAGAAAATCTATAACCACTAGGATCGCATCTGAAAATCAGGCGCTACTAGGAAAATTGAGAAGACAAAGACATATATGTCTCATTCTTTCATTCACTCAACCCATTGTAATATAGAAAATAGGAAAGGACAGAAGTTCAGCTGTGTCCGAACTCCTATCTAACTAATACCATCCAGTGACTCTACTTAACATTATCGTAATCATCATGATACATATATGTTTACAGGAGATTGCTACAACTTCTGATCATAACTTGATACGAGCTACAACAAATCTTTTCGATTGCTTCATGGATGATTTTTATGATGAGAAATACAGAGAACAGGTATCTGATCTAGACGTTAGAGCTCAAATAGAGGGTTCTTTCTTCTTCGCATGCATTTGGTCAGTGGGAGGAACATTGGATAATGATAGCAGAAATAAATTCAATATACTGTTCAGAGGACTACTAGAAAGAGAATTTCCGGATAAGATTCATGAGAGTTTGGAAATTCCATTCGAAATCAATAAACCAGACAAACCGTACATATTTACTCTGCCTGTCGGTGAAACTGTTTTTGATTATCGCTTCATCAAAGAGGTGATTGAAGCATTATAGTATTGAAACTGAACGACAAACATTCATGTTCTCTATTGTAGGGAAAAGGTAAATGGAAATTATGGTCAGACGAACTCATGTCAGCTCCCCCTATACCCAGAGATATTCCTGTAAACCAAATCATAGTTGCTACTGTTGAAACTATCAGAAATATTGCGTTGATGCAATTGTTGATCCAACATCAAAAACCAATGATGATAATCGGACCTACCGGAACTGGTAAATCGGTTTACGTAACTGTAAGGCATAACAAACATTTAGACCTATACGAAAAATCTCTATGCTTTTTTGTTTACAGGATTTTCTACTCAAGAGGAATGATGCGAACACGTACTTGCCACTGTTCATAAACTTCTCTGCTCAAACAACTGCGAATCAAACTCAGGATATGATTTTGGCTAAATTAGATAAACGGCGTAAAGGTTAGATCACTCCTTGTTTCCAAATACAAAGCAAAATTATTACAATGCTGATATAATGATAATGATAATGGTAATGATGATAATAGTGACAGCAATAATGATAATAATGATGATAATATGAATCATATCCATTGCTTTCCTTTAACATAAATAATCGACAATGGTATCTATAAGTATTTAATTCGATAATGAATGAACAAAGACAGACAGAATAGCATGCCTGTATGTTCGGAAAGTTGATATACAGTGTATACACACTCAAGATGAAGGCACCACTATATTTCGGTCATCTTTGAAAGCAGATATGTGATTTTCAGTACAGACGTAGACCTTGATGGGCCGCACGCTTCGCCTGAGTGACAGCCTTTCAAACTCAGTTTAGATCGATCCCGAGGAAAGTTCAAATTATCGATATTTTGCTTCGCGTTGGAGATAGTGAAGAAAGTAAGTACTCGAAAAAATTGCTCGAGAATCCATTTCGACCCTACCTACCAAATTTCAACGCAATATTCGAATTCTGAATTTATAGAGATAGGCTAGTAAAGGAGACCTATTTCGATTAACTCACATTTGATAAAAGAAGAACTTTCAATTATATTTATCTCAATCGTTTATTCAATTGATTCTGCATATTTAATGATTTCTGTAGGTTTTATTTTTTCAGATCTATTTATCTAAAATTGTACTTGGACATGTAACCTACGAAACATTCAGAATTCTGATTTTGCATTGAAATTTGGTATGTAGGGTCGAAATCGATTTCTTAACAACTTTTTCAAGTAACTGTTTCTGTTATCTCCAATGCACGAAGCAAAATATCGTGAATTTGCTCTTTTTGCGGGATCGTAGTAGGCTGAGTTCGAGGCTGTCACTCGGGCTGAGTATTGTGAGAAGGGCGGTACTGAAAGGTCAACGTCTGTATCAAATCTCTGCTTTCAAAAATGAAGTTAACTTCATTTTAAGGGTCTCACACTGTAGAATTTGATATGAAATTAAATGAATAGCATTTATATGTAGCTACAAATTTTTATTGATACATCACGTCATGAAGAACTAGCGGTTCTGAAAGGTGCCAACTTTTATCGTTGTAAGAAAGTATTTGAGATGATTTCAATCAACGAATGATTGGCATCGAATACTATTCATGTATGGACCACCTATGTTATTATTGTTATTATTATTATCTCTATAGAGTTGAATTCAAATTCATTCCAGTAACGATTCTGCTGTCTCTAACGGCACGCAGAGTCGAGATGAACAAAATCCAGTGACTACTTCCCACAACCCGTGGGGTAAAAGATCACTGGGACCAAGTGGGTTTCCAAGAGTGGCATATGTCGTGTGTCATCTAAGGATCCGATAATCAGGGTGACCAGTTTCACAGAATGATCTGGATAGAGCCTGCCGATTTCGAAGAGGAGTTCTCGATATTTTGTCCGTTCCTTCTCCTCCTTCGAAACGATGTTCGGTTCGGCTGGCGCCGAAAGCTCAATCCATAAACATCACCTTGGTTCGATGGTCGATTAGGAGTACATCAGGCTTGATAGCATGTATTTGCCTGAGGGTGGGGAATGAGAAGTTTCAATGAATTCGGCACTTCTCATTGTCGGACTTAATATTCCTCAGAGCATAGGGCAGCATTGGGGTCTCGTCTATCCGTACGAGTATCTCAAATGATAGTGAAGCACTCGCAATGCCGCATTCTGTCTATGGATATAGGCCGAGAATGCATACACCTTGAAAAAAGATAGCAGGTGGATAAGTATCTTGGGCGCCCTGCCGCAGGCCCTGCAATTCGTATCATCATCTACCGTACCCATGATACGGCTACGGTAGATGAGACTGATGAGGACCGCATCCTGCATTGCCATAAAACTCCCCTGTATCTGATTCAAGCTTGCCTGACTTATTAGGCTTTGGATAAGCCCCGGTCTTCGATGGTCTTGAACTAGACCGAATGCATGGGTTTATCCATGTGAAGCTGCAGGAGCTCTCTAACTTCTGCAGCTTCAATATGGGCCTTCCTCCGAGCAGGCTCTAGCTCAGTTACTGAGTCCTGAGTCTCGCGCTTGGAGTCGAAAATCAGAGACAGTTCATCGGCTGCTCGACGTGCTGCCGTGGAAAGAAAAGCTCCAACTCCTGCCTCTTCATGGGTTTTAACCATTTGCAGGAGGGGGTTCGAACTCCTGATGGCTTTGCAGGCACCCAGCACCATTCTGATATAGAGATACTCCGAGCTCAAAAGTATGCGACCACCCTGGTCTCTAGGTATGCATAACCATGGAATGAACGAATTTGGATGCAAACTCCTGAAGAGATGCATCATCTTGCGAGTACTCACGTCAAGTTATCGCAGCTCGACTTGGGTTCACTTTATCACTCCCCATGAATAAACTAGGAGCGGAATAGCAAGCATGGTAGTAGCAGCGACTTTGTTTCTTCCGGACAGTTCCGACGACCAGATCTGTCGTTCTGCCTCCTGCATGTGATTCTTCTTGAGGAGAAGCATGGTTCGCCACTCAGGGATTCGCTGCTCTCCATTGAACCAGCTATTGAATATCTTGGCTGAATGGTGGTGGATAGCGGGACATTTCTTCCACTAGTAGTTGTTGATCTCGTCGTGACCAGGAGCAACAAACTTGTTGGAGCCTTTGAGGGCTTCTCGAACTTCCTCAGTAACTACCGGTGGGCGCAGTAACTCGGGCTCCGCAGAAGGCTCCGACCGAACAGTGCCAGGGCTAGAGTATTCCTGTTGAATGAATGCCCCACCTCGTGAATACCCTGACGAAAGGTTTCCACCTGATCAGCAGTCCTCAGATTGTCAACGACATTGAAAGGCCATTGAAATAAGCGGGAGAACTCCACGTGGAATTGTTTGTTCTACGCCAGCCCTCTTGTTCGCCCCTTTAATGACTGTTCCGCAGCTACCAACATCCGTATCTTCTCAAGGCAGCGTTGCTTGATAGTGGAAAACACTGCCTCATTGAGTGTGTGATGGGTGCGACGCAATTTAGTTGCCATCCGTCACACTTTTGGTGTGAATGGCCTATTGGCACTCAAATAGTCCATCACGCACTGGATATAGGGAGTGTGTTATCTCGCCGTCTGGATCTCGGCTTTCATCTTCTGTACACGCCGTTCGGCCCACTCAGTCGTTGAGACTGTTTAGATACACACGGCACAATTGATGTGCCAGATGTAAGTCCCTTAGTATTATCATTATTTTCATCATTATTATCATTATCATTATCATTTCTATCATTATAATCATTCATAATATTATTACCATCACAAAAATGATGAGAGCAGGAGCCAGAGGCTCATTATACTCAGAGTAGCAAAGTTAGGACACATTTTGTGCCATTATAAATTATGTTCATATGGAGGACCAGGCAGCTTTTGAACGAGTTCAGAGAAGGGGCAGACAAAACTCCATTGGTTAAAGAGTTCCATTGACGGTTGAAGAAGAAATGTGGTTTTATCGATGTTCAAAAAATTTCTTCGCGCAATTTGTAATCATGTCCACGCAGCGAAGAGTCAGTATCTAGGTTGAAGACATCTTTGTTCACTGAAGAAATTGCCGTGCAGGATACGGTATGTAGTTATCTGGTCACCACGTTCATGTCTTGATTCCAGGCAGGGTAGTTGCAGTCTTCGGAGTCGTTCTTTGTTGGGGAATTTCTCGAAACCACGAGGAGAGATTTGGTGGCTCCTTTCGAAACTCGAGTTGGGGCCGGGCTGTAGACTTTGAGGAATGCCTTAGGTGTCAAGTTCTGGAATAATTTCCTTATCATAAATATTATTTGGCAAGCCTTACTGACGACTTTGGTGACTTGCGTACTTCAGCATAGGTTTTCAGTGATGATAATGCCAAGATCATTTTGCTGAGTCACTAGTGTTAAGTTGGCGTTATTGGCAGAGAAAGAACATTTGGGGTTTTGTTTCCCAAGATGTAGGACAGAGTATATTTAGCCTGATTCAGAGGCATCAATCAGTTATGGCATCTAGGTCATCCCAGAGATTGGATGGAGAAGCGGAGTATATCTTGAGGTCGTCTGCATATGACAGTACCTTGGACAGGCAATTTTGCGTAAGGTCGGATACATACACCAAGAACAAGATGGGCCCTAAAACAGAGCCTTGTGGAACTCCACCCAGAAAGGCGCGTGATTCAGAAAAGCTATCACCTATCCGAACAGAGAAACGTCTATCAGTCAGAAAACACTCGATTCACTTCAAGAGATTGTCTTGCACTCCGTAATGATCTAGCTGTGGATTAGGCGAGAAATTGGTACTTCATTGAAAGCTCGCAAAAAGTCCAGGTACACTACTTCAGCGTGTTCACTATTATCAAGATGAGTGGTCTATGAGTCGACAGCGGCAAGTAGAATGAGCATGTGGCTCAAAATTGATGACTAACTGTTCAGTTTAGTTCGGAAACCGTTCAGATATATGAGATGGAATGAAAAAATGATTTCCATAATGAAGAGTGATACAATACTCATCCTTTCTGGTATGCGCTCTTTTTTGGCCACCATTTTGGAGAGAATGTGATCGACTGCATCTTGAGGAAACTGATATTTTCTCACAAATTTTTCTCCTTATAATATATCTAGGTTGACTAGATGAATAGTGTGCGATAGTCGATCTTTACCTAACGACGCCTAATATTACCTGAGTAGTTAATATTGATTTATTGTTTCAATTTCGAAGGGGTGTTTGGTCCACCAGTAACGAAGAAGTGTGTTATATTTGTGGATGATGTTAACATGCCACTGAAGGAAACATACGGAGCGCAACCCCCCATAGAGCTGCTGAGACAATGGTTCGATCATGAAATATGGTACGACCGCAAAGAAATAGTGCCTATGAAACTTATTGATATACAAGTAAGAAAAACCATATCACCATAATAATAATAATCATCGGAAATAGTAAAACAAGAAAAATAAAGTGCGTCGATATCAATTCATACCTCCTAACGCATTGTGATACATAGATACATCGAAAACAGGTTAGAAAGTTCATGTTCAATTCTGGTCAGGATATCTCCGGATTTCAAAAGCACATCTATAAGATTCTTTCTGTTTTGGTCCCATTCATGAACTAAAAAAAGACATCGATCAGAAGATATTTTCCAGGTAGTCCCCGTGATAGCCATGAAAAACCAAGAGCAAAAATAAATTCATATGAATAAATATCGTAATTTTTTTTTAACAATTTCGAACAGAGAAATGTGCCCTTCTGAAAAGTACTCGTATCTGTTTTTTCTGGACTTGAAATACATTTTCTTGAGATATTCATCGATAGATCCGAAAATATCCTATGAATAGGTGTGAAATATACGAATATCAAACATCAAGCTGAAATTTCAATATCTATGCCTTTTTTGTCTATATGTATTGAACAAAACTGTATCTTGAAAAAAAGTATCTAAAGATTTGTACCTGGACATCCATGAGATATTCATGAATGATTTCAAAATTGAAATATCCGTTGAAAGATATCGAAGCATATTCTTCATTCGATATGATCGACATCCACTAAAGTTATTCTCCTTAATTCTTTCATTATCTTAGAAGTGATCTGTGTCATGATGTATTTTTGTTTCTTGTATATACAATTCTAATTTAGTTTGGAATTCAGAGTATTATCCTATTTTGTCTCAATGACATCCCTAGAAGATATCTTATACGTATATCTTATGGACATCCTTTAGAATATTATTCGAATGTCCTTGAAAAACATCATATCATGGATATCTGTAGACAATATATCATGGCTATTTCTGAGAAATATCTCATGAATATTTGCGGATGCCAAGGTCATTAGATGACGTTGCGATGACATTCAAAACTACGAGAAATAATCCTAACTCCTGGCATAGATTGAAATTAAGTCATGTTCTTCCGTAGGTTTTGAAGTCATCGCAACGTGATAATAACCTTGACGAGTGCGAATCCCTTAAAGATGCAGATGCATATCTTATAGAAGCTCTGACCTTTTTCCAATCGGAACATCCATTGGACGTTCACAAAATATCCATCGGATATTGAGTGGATGTTTTCTGGATATCTCAAATTTCCAAAATGTACATCCAATAGATCGCCATCAAAAATCCTGGTGTTTACTGGTTCAGGAGATGTCATTCGATGACCCCTTATTTTGAAAGACTCTCTTTGATGTTCGCGTCAATCAACTAATATGTTCATTTATTTCAGTTTATGTGTGCCATGTGCCCACCTGGGGGAGGTGGTAACACCATTACACAAAGATTTTCGAGACACTTCAATCACCTTTGCATTGATGAATTTCGGGATAATGTTTTGGTCAATATCTTCAGCAGAATCATGCTCTGGCATCTGGATACAAGGTAAACATCGTGGTAGTTCGTAATTGAATTGATTTCTTCCCGAAGCTGTGAGGTTTATGGCTTCCATAATATCGTGCCTTGCCGACCTTAGTGGAAACACACTGTATTTTATCGCTTGGAGCGCACAAAAAGGAATCCCTTCAATGTTTGAGGCACATCGTGCGTACCTAATGAGGATAGGAAGAGGAGGTAGGCATTGCAGTTTTTTCGAACCGTTGGATATCATAAGTTCATGGAAATACTCCCTTTGGCAAGGAATTCTAGAGCTTCGGTGTTCTATAGTCAAATGAGCTTTGATAAACTGCTGTTCGACATATTTCGAGGTTGGAAACAAAACTATGCGCTGACTGGGCCTGTCGAGTTAGTCTGACTGGTTTTGATAGTGACGAAATGATAGCAGAGAGTTCAGAAGAACATTTTCCGTGGAAGTATCTATCGAAAAGTGAAAGGTCACCGACTTTACTGCGGTGTTCCAATGATGTCAAAGACTTAGTGAGTGTTGAGGATATGTTAAAAGAATCATCACAGCGCATGTGTACCTACGCCACGATTGTATACATTGTGGTTTATCGTGATACAAGTAACATCAAAAATGAGTCTGCGAAAAAGCATACGTTAAATGATTGTTCAAAAATACCCCCTATTTACCACATGTTCAGTTACTATAATAATTTCGGGATGGCGGCGTTTGCAAATAAATCATCAACTTTCAATGAGAATTCAAATTTGATTGATGACGCCGCTGCATACGAGCACAATTAAATAATTGTCTGGGACATGTTGATAACTCATGAAAATCAGGACTTGAAAGATGCATACCTACATTTAGGAAATGTTGCACAAAATCTGTCACTACCGACTAGTCTATAGTTGCGTTTGATTTATCCGATTCCTCCTTAATGTGCCGTTTCATCTGCAACTTCACCAATTCCGGTTGCTACTTTTCAATCCGTCCACTACAAGAAATGACTTGGAATGACTGTTGACAGTAGTTGTCGAAAGATTAAATTGGATGGAAGAAAAACGAAACTTCTCGCAAATAAAACACAATTAGAAGATATTTATATCGTGGGGTTCACAAGTTGATGATTCTCCCAAGTAAGACGACAGGTTTCATACCTTCATTCCCAGATAAAATGGATTCTCCCGCGATCTCAGCGATCCTTCTCCAAGCACCACAATCACTGCTCCAAATATGCAATTTTTTCATCTTGATTTTCAAATCCTTCATTATTATATCGTGATTTTTTGGAGCCCCAATATATAAATATAATCTCTATCATCTATAATATGTCAATTCTCTCATGCCAGGACATGGAATTCCTCGTTCTGATTGTGAACGTCATTCTGTTTCTACCAACGTTATCAGAATGGAACAAATAAATCGCAACTTATTAGGTCATGTGACTGTGACATTCATAGGTACTTTCATATGTCATAATATTAGGTTAATGATCCTGACATTCCGGATCGCACTCTCTGTGTCGATGTCAGTTAATGGTCTTGTGTCTTGTCAGTTTGAGTTTGAATATATTGTTATGCTTTTTGATTCCACAATTGGAAAGAACATTGAACTACTTCCAATTTTATTATTCCTGATTGTGGAAATTATAAGATAATTATTTCGGTTTGAAACCCGATCAAAAGACCAGTCAAATGATTAGACCAAAGGCTGAGATGAACCAAGTAGCTCAACGATTTCAAAGAGTTCAACATAGGTCTAACTTTTAACTCAACGTAACCCATTTCGTCATTATGTGGCCAAAGTAGGACGTCAATCTGACGTCATTATACTATGTGGGATGAACCCGACATTCTTTACTTTAAATCAACAAAACTATTTTTTAATAAAATTCCAGACGTTTCACGATCTGTTTCTACATGTTCTAAAGGGTAGAGTCATGCGTCAAAGAATGCCCCTGCATGTTGCCTGTAGTATTTCCATCATGTTATATTGTCTTCTTCTCAGGCATTCCAATGTGACGTGCCTTGCAATCATTCTCTGTCCAATTTATTGTGTGCCTCAGACTCACAAGAATTTCGTTTTCCTCAGACTATAGACAAACAAAAATTCGCCTTTCATACATATACAAGGTGGTCCAGAATGATTTACACCAATTTTCAGTGGTGATAGTGTCCCAAAAGGAAGGACTTATCTCTGTGAACGTAACTCCGATAATGCATTATAGCTCAATAAAAGAGCGTAAGAATCACAATAAAAAAGTTTATTATTCTACATATTATGATATCTGATGAGGAAATAGAAATACGAAAGTGATACTCCTCATATTTGATACACTGCCCTCCTAAATGAACTGGCGTCAACAAGTAGTAAAAGTAAAGTCAAGATCACAGTTGAATGTAACCTATAACACCGGTCCCGAAACCATTCTGAAATACCAGGATTGATTGAATTACCAAGGAACACGCAATGGAATGTTGAATAAATACAAAGAGCTCGAAGTCATTTCCACACAATGTTCATCAAATGAACAACAATGGTAGATTTCGGGAGAACAACAACTATTTTTCTGGCTGATGCCACGCAGAACATTGAATTACATCCTCCCGAAGACTATGCATCGACTCGTATAAACGAATACTGATACAAGTGATTCTTTCCTGAATGCATATCGATTTCGATTCAGTCAGGCCACGGTAGACACCTACAGGCCGGTTTCGAGCTCTTTGACTCTCATCAGTGCAGAGCAGTCTCCAGCCAGCAGTCTTGAGATCGCCTACTGAGCGTATAGCCTAGCCAAACAAAAATCAAGTCGGCATTATATTCCCTCAGAGGTGTCCTTCATAGACAATATGAGAGTAGCTTCATCTGAGTCGAAAAGAAGGCAAGAAGCAGCAAACTGATATTCCCATACGGGAGTGGCTGATTGCCCGACTATCGTAATTTCAACTACTAAATAGCCAGTCGAAAAGAAGGCAAGAAGCACTCCAAAACTGATATTCCCATACGGGAGTGGCTGATTGCCCGACTATCGTAATTTCAACTACTAAATAGCCACAATGATCAAAGTCGAATGAAATGTTAAATGAATACAAAAAGCTCAAAGTCATTTCCACACAATGTTCATAAAATAAACAACAATGGTGAAATTCGGGAGAAAAACAACTACTTTCCACGCAGAACATTGAAATACATTCTCCCGAAATCTATGCATTGACTCGTATAAACGAATACTGATACAAGTGATTCTTTTCTGGATGCCTATTGATTTCGATCTAGCCAGGCAACGCTAGACACCTACAGACCAGTTTCAAGCTCTTTGACTCTCATCAGTGCAGGGTAGTCTCCAGCCAGCAGTGTTGAGACCGCTGACTAAGCGTAGCCTAGCCAAGCAAAAATAAAATCGGCATTATATTCCCTCAGAGGAAAGAAGGAGAGAAACACTCCAAAACAAAAATTTCCATACATATTTCAAACACCCTCAAATCTCAGTTACCAACAATGCGAATTTCTTGAAATTTTGTTGGTGATTGTATGTTAAAAAAATAACATACAATCACTATCACAGTTTCGATAAAATTGCATCATTAGTGACTGAGATTTCGGGGCGTAGTCATGAGAAGCGGTATTTCGAATTTCTCTTGAGATTTTGAAAATATGAATTGGGGGATTTTAGGGGATGCTCTGATTCTGAATCTGATAAAAACAGTTATTCAAAATATGCCCTGATATCCTCTTTCCGAATAATGGCCTTTTTTATAACCCTCAACATTGCACGCCAATGGTGAATGAAACTTTTCACTCTGATAAATACTTCATTGCTCTAACATACAATCGTCACTAAAATCTGAAGAGAATAGCATCATTAATAACTGAGATATCAGGGTGTATTCATGAAAAGCGGGACACACTGTATACAGAGAAGTGCACAATAAACGGGCAGTGCTGTAACTTCTGAATCATTTGAGATAGGATTTTGTGGATTGGTGGGCAGCAAGTATTCCAAATTGCTAATTGATTAGCAAACCAATGTTTGTTCTATCACTTCCGGTTTTACCGGAAACGACCCTTACTTTTGATTTTCAAATAGGACACCCTTTGAAAAGGAATATTCTCAGATATATTTACGAACACAAATAAATGGATATACATATACATATACATACAGTGTGACCTATTTCTAAAGGAACCACCCCTGTATCTTACGTAATCGTTGGGTAAGGATCCTGAAATTTGCTGGAGCGAGAGATATACCAAAAATGCACCCTATGACCAAGTGGGGTCATCTTCAGTGATATACACTGCTCGCCAACAGCCATGAAACTACCCCATTTTCTGGAAAATGATATTAGGAGTCAAAATAGGTCGAAAATCACTTCAGATTTGGAATCAGAACTCCCAATTTACTAAGTAATCAAATTTTTCCTGGAAAATTTTCAGTTCGGAAAAATGAAATTTTGTCGCATTTTTTATGGAAGCACCCCCGTATCTCACGTAATTATTGAGGTGAGGTTCTGAAATTTTCCGAAGGAAGAGAAAGTCCAAAGATAAAGTCAATTACATGAGATACGAGGGTGCTTCCATAAAAAATTCGACAAAATTTCATTTTTCCGAACTGAAAATTTTCTAAGAAAAATTTGAATAGTTAGTAAATTGGGCGTCCTGATTTTTGACCTATTTTGACTCCTAATATCATTTTCCGGAAATTGGGGTAGTTTCATGGTTGTTGGCGAGCAGTGTATATCACTGAAGATGACCCTACTTAGTCATAAAGTGCATTTTTGGTATATCTCTCGCTCCAACAAATTTCAGGATCCTTACCCAACGATTACGTAAGATACAGGGGTGGTTCCATTAGAAGTGGGTCACACTGTATATAAAGAAGTACATTGAGAATTGGCATTCTCTATTTCATGAAAGTATAAACTCTTTCTCGGTTTATTCAACAGAGAAAACTACTTTCCTATCCATATGCCGCGACAAACATTGAATTACATCTATCGAACACACACGATAAGAATTTGAAAACAAAATAGTAGATAGTAGATAATTTGCATTATTCTTTATATAAAGATATGCAAATAATATCATTCGGAATATTCAATATTCAATACTTTTACCCAATCAAGGGTTCAAACTTGAACGATGGATACTTGTTATATTTATAGACCTCAATCGCAGATTGGTGATTAGGTTGTCTCAATTCAGAATTTCTTTCCACGTCCTGTATGACGAATATCAATTTATCATACATCAAAAAAGGACACCCGTCATTTTATTCCATAAGCGGTTAGGGATTATCATAACGAATGCAACGATACCAGATTTGATAGGGTTATTTTCAACGATTACGAAGATATTCGCGTTTGAAGTTTCCATATGCTCAATGGGTGTGACGCAATATCGAAACTTTTTTTTCTGTCCCACTTATCGAGCAAATGGATACTTAGAAGGCGAATATCTTTGAAGTCGTTCGAATTAACCCTATCAAACCTGGTATCGTTGAATTCGTCATGATGATCCCTAACCGATCATGGAATAAAATACAGGATGTTCTGTTGAAAAGTCGAGAGTAGGAGTCGTTTCTGGTAAGACCAGAAGAGATTGAACAAAAATTGTTTTGTCAGTTAATGAACAATGTGGTATTCTTGCTACCCACCAATTTTCGAAATCCGATCTGAAATGATTCAGAAGATACAGTAATGACCGTTTTTTGTGCCCTTCTCGGTGTATGCCTAGAACATTTTGTTTATCAAGTGTGTACGGCAAAACACTCGGAATAATTGTTATACATGGTGTTTACTGCAACGACACCAAACATGCATACCATTTTTATTTCAATCCGATTTTTTGTCTGTTATGAAAATATGACATTCTCACAACGACGACCAGATTCAGCAAATACAAATCTCTCGATTTGAACAATATCATTTTGTAAAATGTCAGTGCAGGACTGACTAGTTTGAAAGGTTAGATAATCATGAACTCTTCTTCTTCATGGAATAATGTGGGAATAATGGCAAAATCGATACCTAACACTTGAACAATGAGTTGAAAACAGTGTTGTCAGCTCAAAAATTCTCAATTTTTCAACAATATTGCTATCACTTGAACTTATAAATAGTCTTGCAGTTAGTCTGCAAACAGAATACAGAACTTAATAGCAATATTGTTATATGTTATGTTCATAACAATATTATTATCTTAGCAATGTTATGACAAGATCTGAACAGAATCGACCCGATTATTACCCTTTCATTCCATTACTATTTGTCCATATCGAGGATTTATGTGACACGTTTTCAGGAATAAGCCTGTATTCAGAAAATTTGATTTTTCTTCTTTTGGGTATATCAGATCCAACGCGTTCTCTGATGTAAAAATCAACGACGCGTCTCCTGCTAGTTAAAATCATACGAAGGAAATAATCTATATTATTCTAATATTAATGACGAACATGTTCCTCTAGGGGCTTTTCCAAAGACTTCGATCCGTGCATCGAGGAAATCGTTCTCGCCACCCTTGACATCTACAAATGGGCACGCTCGAATTTGCTTCCGACGCCAGCGAAGTCGCACTATCTCTTCAATTTGAGAGATTTCTCCAGAGTAATACAGGTGAGTATAAGTGGAACTGAAAGCCTATGGGATGATTCACAATGAATGGAGGGAGCATTGTTTGGCAGGAGTAGCTAGAAACGAGTTCGAAATTGGACAACGGAATTTTTAAGTACGGCAAAGTTTTTGGGAATTTAGTCAAGTTCACCAAAAATCGAAATAGTTATTTATTATATATACATGGAAAAAATGTGGTATATATATTTTTCCTGTTTATGATACATTATTTTTTTCTGTGACAGAAAAAAGGACGAATCAATATTCAGAAGATATCGAATTATATTAAAATCAAAAAATTATCGACGTGGAATTCTAAGTTTCTAACAGGAATCACACCTGCGTTGCAGTCATCTCTTTGCACGCATCATTATAGTTTTTATGCACGACCGGGCGTAAAGTAGCACTTTACCGCCCGGGTTTACGGGCGTAAAGTGGCACTTTACCGCCCGCGGACTACTTTACCGCCCGGCGGGCGATAAAGTTATTGAGCTGGTGGTAAAGCTAATGTCACTGTCATATCAATAGAAATCTAGATTCCAATGGTTTCAATTAATGCAAAATGATTGGGAAAATAGATCTGAATTATACAGGAGTGCTCATTTGAATTTACTAATATCTCTATTATCATGTACATTTGAAGTAGCTTTCAACATGAAATAATATGACCACATGGAAGAGGGCTTACGAGATTTTGATTTTTCCAGAAAATAGGCAAGAAGCACACTTTCAGTGTAGTTCTTATTTTTTACCTCATTTCTGTCGCACCAGCTTACGAATTCTTCGTATACTCTCGTATATTTTTTTTTATTCACTTGGCAATAAACTCGATTTTGCTTCCTCAGCTGCCCCACTAATTTCTGGTGGAGTACAATTCACACTTTCTTCATGACTTGAATTCATTTTGAAATCACTAATGAATTATGTATGATTACACAAATTGACAGTTAATATGGCTACTGGCCTATTAATTCCTATTTCGAAGAATTGACTGAGTTGCCATGGTAACGTTGATTCCATACTTCTTGATTAATTGTATTTGCGATATGGATACAATACAGTCTCACTGCAACCGTGATGTATTTTTATTGTGCTTGAGGGGTGAAGAGATACCTACATGAGATATCAAATAATATAATATATACAGGTCGTACATAAAATGTTGTATGTATTTCGGGCGTAACTAGCTTTTATGGACCTAGGCGTGTTAATAGCCCTCGCTATCGCTGGGTCTATTACTTACACGCTGCGGTCCATAAAAGCCTATTTTACGCCCTTGATACATAAATAACTATTTTGAAGTAATCAAATATCTGTCAGTCTAATTTTGTGATTAGATTGCAAAAACTCGCTAACATAGTAGTTGTTTCGTGATTTAAGTAACCGCGAGGTGGGATGGAAGATACCTAAAAGGACTTGCAGTTCTTTCTCGGAGACGGTGTTGTTGGCTCATTTTTCGGAACTATAGCACATCAAAAGCCATCAACAGTGTATACAGATTCGATTGATGGCTGAAAACTCAGGATATAATAATAATAATAATTATAATAACATTTATTGATCCCAAGAAACATACAATGTTTATAGAGGGAAACAAAATAAAATAAAATAAATAAAATGAAATCAAATATGCAACACAATGAAAGATAAACAGTTCAATCAGAAATAATTGATACAAGGCGAGAGTTGGATTGATAATATATATTTCTTCAGTTCACACTTAAATTTTGTGATGAATCTGATAGATTTTATTCTCTTGGGTAGACTATTATAAATATTCATTCCACAAAAATACAATAATTTTTTCCCGAATTGGGTTTTAACTTTTGACAGTTTTCGAATGTTCACTTTGTCTGGTGCGATGCTCATGGGTATCAGAATTGATATTGAAAGTTAGATTCGAGTGCTTCTTCTTATTCTTATTGAAATGAATGAAAATGCATACTTTCATTTTGAAGAGAGAGTCAATATCTAGTAGATATCTTGGTTTGTATAGTCTAGATGTTGATTCCAGAAAATGGTAGTTTATAAATACATTTTATGGCTTTATTTTGAAGAGATTCCAGAGGTTTCAAAACAGATTTCGCTGCAGTACCCCAGATCGATATCAGATACTGCAATTTGGAGTAAATCGAACTGAAATAAATTAATTTTAAGTATTTAAGAGGTATAAAAGACTCCAATTTGTATAATATACTAACAATGGGAGATATTTTTTTTCTGAGCAATTGAATATGCGACGACCAAGATAGAGTCTGGTCTATATAGTTAAACCTAAGAGTTTGGAGTTTTTTGTAGGATTTATTCAAAAATTCCCGAATTTTAACGAATCGAAATGAACATAAAAGAAGATTTATCAAAATTGAGTGTCAATTTATGATCTTGTAACCATAATGTTATTGAAGCAAGACATTGTTCCATTTGGTTTTTCATTCCTTTTATATTTTTTCCGTAATAAATGAGAGTTGCGTATCGGCAAATAATTTCAAATTTCCTTGTAATTTCAAACTTGAGATAGAATTTATATAAATCAGAAATAAAAAAGGTCCGAGAATTGATCCCTGGGGTACACCACAAGATATGTTTCTTATCGAAGAAAATAAATCTCCCATATACACAAACTGCTTTCTATCAACTAGATAATTTTCAAACCATCAAGAGTAAACTTTACCTCTTATTCCTAATCGAGTTAATTCAATGGTTACTCAGCATATTTTAAGAAGAAAAGTTCAAATGGATATATGACCTAAACCTCTTAACTTTCGAGCTATAGGGTTTTGAAATTTTATGAAAAAATTCGTTTTCCTATCATGACTCCAAAATCTCTTCTCTTGATATCCATGTTGATATTCGTAACATTCTTGACTTATTGAACTTTAAAAATCATAGGCTGCAAATTTTAATTGATATACATTCCCATCTGTTATCAGCACAGATGGCTCAAGGATGTTTGGGGAGGAATCGTTGGAGAACATAAGATATTGTAATAGTGCCACATTTCTTGTATCGAATGGATGAAAAATATATGGTGGTGTTTCATTTGGAAAAACTCGAGAAGAATCAGTTCAAGAAGTTCGGAATTGAAAAATTATTTATACTCACCATGTATGATTTGAGGGCAAGCAAATTATTCGAGAATATCATGTATCTTCCCTTCACGACAGTGATTTTTTCGTTATGCATCTGCAGAAGACATTGTTTTGACAAACAATTTTATAAATGTGATATGAAAAAATGACATATAGGCGATAATATTAGGTGGTAGGTGAAGGTCACAGAAATGCTTGAAAAAATGTGCATTTATCTCTGATTAAAATAAAATTCACCGACTATCCAGATTTTTTCGATGCGCCCTGTAGATGCGGCAATAAACTCTTGTTATGGACATTGTTGTCTCATTCAGACGTTTATTTCTGAATTATGTTTATATCTATCATTGAATGTGTACCGGGTGTACCACTCAGAAAGGACGCCGGCTGTATCTCGGAAACTATTTGCTGCACAGGTTTCGGAAAAAAATATTCATGATAAAAGTGGCCAAGAAAAATCTCTGGAAATTTTTTTTTCCAGGACAGCCGCTAGAGAGCATAATTGCATTGGCCAACTTGAAAAACGAGTTTTTATGAAAATTTGATATATCAAGACATATCAGAAACACTCTTTCCATGTTCTCGAGTAGATTTTCAATCATTTCGATCAAAAAAATTGCGCTAGCTCATTAAATGAAAGAGGGAGGGAAGGATGAATAGTACTCTGGAAAAACTCTTATTACTACAGTTTGATGTAACGGAATTGAGCTATCTTGGTCTCATTATGAAGGGTTTCTTCAGATCTTCCCGATAAAACACGAATCAAGTCGATTTAAATCCCGTGGTGACCGCTATATGGCATCGTTTGAAAAATCAGCCGATTTGCCATTTTTTTTCGAGAATTTCGAATAGAACCATATATTTTTCCTGCTATGATATGAAAGTGAAGTGAACGAGAAGAAAAATGGTGAAAACCGCGAGTTGATACCTCTTGAAGAACCGGAGAAATATTCGGAATAATATTAAAATTTAAACTGTTAGCATGTCAAATGCCTCCTCATTCGTTATCGGCATTTTGACAAATAAGCAATCCACAGTGAAAACTCTCAATGGAACTTCAATTATATTCTGACGTTTCTTTCATTCGCAGCCAACTTGCCTTTTCTCATTCCTGAGCCTATACTCACTACTTACATTTCAATTAGCTATGTCATTACTAAGAGTCTCCTTCAATATTGTGAGATATAACTACGGTTTGTGGAACCAAAATAAATCAATTATTGAAATTGTAATTTCATAGATACAGCTAGGATATTTCTGATGACGATTATTGAAGTTAGATTCCTGTGGTGAATATTTTCATAATATTATTTCGAGTATTTTACCGTTCCCTAAAGAGGCATCAATACACGATTTTCCCTATTTTTCTTCTTGATTGCTCTTCTTCCATATTAAAGTAGAATGAATTTATGGTTCCATTTGAAATTTTCGAAAAAATTGAAAATTGTCTGATTCTGATTTTTCAAACGATGCCATCTAGCGGCCACCACAGGATTTAAATAGACTTGATTCGTGATTCATCTGGAAGAACCAAGATCGTTGGATTCCGTTACACCAAACTGTATAGTACTGCAAGTTTTTTCAAAGTACTATATTAATCCTTCCCTCTCTCTTTCATTTAAAGAGCTAGCGCAGTTTTTCTCGATCGAAATGATTGGAAATCAACTCGAGAACATGAAAAAAGTGTTTTTGATATGTCTTGATATATCAAATTTTCATAAAATCCCGTTTATTAAACTGGCCAATGCAATTACGCCCTCTAGGGGCTGTCCTGGAAACTTGAAAATAATTTCCAGAGATTTCTCTTGGCCACTTTTATCATTCATATTTTTTTTCGAAACCTGTGCGGCAAATAGTTTCCGAGATACAGCCGGCGTCCTTTCTTAGTGGTACACCCGGTACACTTGATAGGGA